TATCATGGCGGGGGCCATGATATTTCCCCAGATCTCATGGCGCCCCTTCTTGTTTCATTACGTCCCTGGCCCCCCCCCCCGCTGGGCCGCGCACATGCCGCCGGCCATGATTTGCACCCCCCCCTTCTTGGACACCCCCCTCTTTGCCGCTCCCGAAACCACGCGACCATGTTCGCAACCGCCAGGTTCGCAACTGCCGGTGCGGGCAGTCTAGTGGACATCTCTCTTCGGTGCAGGTCCGCGAGCGTGAGGCGCCCAGCCAGCTATCAACGTCATTTTTCGGGTGAGGTCCCGCTGCTCTGAGGTAGGATGTAACTCCTGGGAGATTGGCTCACGCCGTTTGGATCAGCGACAGCTCGCACTGAGCTGCCACTCTTGCGCGCCCAGCCGGGTGCGCCCACTCGCGTCGGGGAGGGGCCCTGCGCAGCCATGCCACTACAGAGGGTCACTGCTGCTGTGGTCCTCCTATTCTGCCTTCTCGTGGCCGTCGCTGGATTCTGCACGCAAGCTCCTGGGAAATGCGCTGGGCAACTAGAGCCCCAGGAGCAACGCCTCGGGGAGGAACGCTCCTTCTACGGCATCTCTATGGGAAGTCGCGCCTCGCCCCGGGCGGTGGACTGGGACGACGGGGACCTCGACCTCGTCGTGGGCGAAAGGTAGGGCGAGGTGCTGCTCTTCTAGCGGCTGGCGAGCGGGGCCCTGGAGCAGCGCCTCGGGGAGGAGAGGCCCTTCAACGACGTCGACGTGGGATCTGACGCCGCGCCCCAGGCGGTGGACTGGGACAACGACGGGGACCTCGACCTCGTCGTGGGCAACTCGATGGGCGAGGTGCTGCTCTTCCAGCGGAAGGCGATCCGGGCCCTGGGGGAACGCCTCGGGGAGGAAAGCCCCTTCCACGGCATCGACGTGGGATATGAAGCAACTCCCCAGGCGGTGGAATGGGTCAACGACGGGGACCTCGACCTCGTCGCGGGCAGCCAGTGCAGCGAGGTGCTTCTTTTCGAGCGGCTGGCGAGCGGGGCCCTGGAACAGCGCCTCGGTGATGCGAGCCCCTTCGACGGCGTCGACGCGGGATCTGGTGCCGCACCCTGGGCGGTGGACTTGGACAACGAGCGAGGTGTTGTCCTTCGATGATGGGTGCGACGTTGTCCGCGGTTGCTCGTGAAAGGGGGCTTCGTTCCCTGCTCGTGGGGGCGCGCAGCTGCCTGGTCGAGTACAGCGGCGCAGACTGTTCCGCGCGCAGAATTGGGCATGCACGCGCGCGGAAATGCAACGCTTTCCTGCTGAGCGGCAACCGTCGACGCTCGCCATAAGCGACCACGACAGAGAGAGAGAGAGAGAGAGAGTTCGGTCGTTTACCCTGCTTTGACGACGCTTGCGCGCGGGAGCAGGCGCTCGTTTTTTCCTTTATCCGCGGCACGCACGAAGGGTTCCCAGGAGTGAATGAGCAGAGCGGGCGCGCGAACCGCGCGGGCGAGTGCCCGGCGGACCACGTCGTTCGGATGGGCCCGGGTTCCCAGGCAGTCTGCGACGCCTGCCCTCCAGGCGTCCTCGCGCAATGGAGAGCGCCGCTGCGTCGCCCCGCCCGCGCAGAAACGCAGCTCCGACGGCGCCGTCTGTGGGCGCCCCGCGGCGCTCGGGCTAGCGAAGAAGAGCGACGCGCGCGCGCTGCCCCCGAGGCGATCGCCCGCGACGGGGCCCGCGAGTGCACCCCCCCCTTCGTTCTCCAGGAGAGCGGCGCCGTCTGCGGGTGCGCCGAGGGGCAGGCGAGGCAGGCGAGACGAGCAACCATCAGGAGCGGAAAAAGGACGTACATGTACATGAATCCACGCTGGTTTCGAGAGTTCACATTGCGCAAATGTTCGTATAACGCGGCCGGTCTCACGGATCGAGGGGCCGTGTTCATGTACATAGCTGGGCGCGTGCGTCCTTTGTGGGCTCCCTAAACCAGCTGCGCGCCGCGCCGAAGTGGCGGCGCGTGCACGGGGGGCGCGGCGGCCTCGACGCTTCGCGGCTATAGACCCCCAGCCGCGGACAGCGCCGAGCCCGTCGAATGTCTGCTGGACCAAGCGGCACTTGATGAGGGCGAGGACGCAGGCGACGATCGGGCCCCCGTCTGCCTCGCGGGCAACGCGCGGGTGGAGGGGTGCGAGAGCGCGGCGCGCGCAGTGTGCAGCGAAGGCCACGGGCGCCTCGGCCCCCCCTGCGTCGCGCGCGAGGGGGCGACGGCGTCCTTCAAGCTGGGGCTCGTTCTTCTTCGCGGCGGCGCTTGAAACTGGTTGCAGGGTCGGAGATGGGGGGATGCCGAGAAGCAGGATGCGCAGACGCGCCCGGGGCCGAATGCATTGCCAGAGAGGGGTGGGGGCCAAGAGACGATGTACAAGTGGGTGCGGCGCGCGTCCGGCATGCGCCTCGGAAGCCCGCGCATCTCGCGCGCGCCCCTTCAGGCTTGCGCTGGCTGAGCCACCGCGCTGCGACTCGCGCGCCCTAAGACCTGGAAGGTGGGCATTGCTTTGCGCAGTGTCGCGCGACACGTTGCATTAATCTTCAGCTTCGCGCGCAATCTCCCCCTCGCGTGGCGGCCAGCGCCGCGTCGTCCGAGGCCGCGTTCTGATGCGCGCGGCGGGGTCTCATCATTTCTGGCGCTCTATTTCGTCGCGCAGAGGTTCTTCAAACGCGTCGCGCAGCAGGAGGCCCGAGCAGCGGGGGGGGCACCTGCCGTTCCTGAACAGGGTGCGCGCGACACGGTCATTGTGTATTTCTGGGTGTCGTACATTGCGCGCGCGCTGCTGCGTCTCCCGATTGCGGGGGCCTCCTTGGATTGCACCCTGGATTATGATCGCGGACGCCACCTGCGCCTCGACTACAAAGTTCCCAAGCCGGACGTCGCCTGCAAGAGAATCAGCTACCCCTCCGCCATCCTGGTTTACTCCATCGGCACACCGCCGTCGCGCTTCCTGGCCCTGCCGCGCGCAGTCGCATCAGCGGGGGGCGTCGCGTCAGCAGGGGGCGTTGGCGAGGATAACTGGGGCGAGAAGGTGGCGAAGAGCCTGGGCAGCGCGGCGCGGCGCAAGTTTTACCCGCCACGCAGGCCCAGGCATTGGTGGTTCGAGTGCGTCGTCGTGCTTCGGCAGTGCATGCTCGCCACCGTCGCTTCCGTCGCCGCCGATTCGGCTGCCTTTTGCATCTTCCGGCCCATATGCGTGGCATGCCGCTTCGCCGCCGTCGTGGTATCATGAAGGCCCTACGACGAGAGCGCCGACAATCGCGCGCGGTTGATCGCCGCGCTTGCGCCCATCCTGACGTTCGCGCCCCAACTGGCGGCCCTCGCAGCAAACTCGACGGACGGTCGCCAGACCGACGCGAATTGGAGCACGGCGATGAACGCATTCGACAACAAGGAGAAGAAGGAGAGGCTCAAACACCAGCGCGCCAAGCGATGCTTGCGCGCCGCCATCGTCGGGCGCCGCGTCAGCCGCGCAACAGATCAGCCCGTTGACGCCGACGCGCTCGCCATCTACGGGCGTTCTTCCTCTGTGGCCGCTCCGAGGATGGACGCAAACTGACGTCGGCATGGATCGCGCATCGTGAAACCGGCGATGAGGGCGTGCGCGGCGAAGCTTCGCCGCGCGCAGCCCACGTTGAGCAGTGATTTATATCGGCGGTCTGTTTGCGCCATTGAAGCCTTGGAAAGCACGCGTTCGCCACCAACCCCTTCTTCGTATTGCGGCACCGAGTGATAAAGTGCACGCGTTTTATCGACTGCTGAGGCAGATTTAGCATGGCGACACGCGCCGGGTATATGGGGCAACTCATCACTTTACTTTTCTCTTATCCTTTTTATGTGGCCGCGCGGTTCGGCGGGGGATGCTGCCTGCAGGATTTTTTATTTTGTCTTCGACACATCAGGATCTCGCGACCGTCATTTGGCACTTTGCAGCTGTTACCTCAGGATCAGGTAGGGTCCTTTCCTGCTGCGGAGAGTCACGCTGTAGAGGTGGCCATCGGCGCTCTCGCTTGGGAGCCCGTGCCCCTCCGCGGTGCTCTGTTCAAACAAATACATAATCGGCGCTGGAATATTCTGGTCGGGAATTAGTTGAATCTGGGGCAATCCCGCTTGATCCGGTTTCTTCCTGCCCGATCCGGCCCCGATCTTGTGTCAATTCGGCTTCATCTTGGACAATCTAGCCCGCTCCGGCGCAATGCCCCCGTCATCGGGCCTGATCGCCCATAATCGTTACGACGAATACCTCCCAGGAATTTCGATGATCTTCGGGACGTGTGTTAGCCCATTGTGTGATTACCCCGCTCGCCCCGTGTCGGCCACCGTTACACCGGCTGCGTCGTATAAAAGGGCTGCGGTGGATAGACAGGCGCGCGTCGGCGCTAACACATGTTCTGGGGATCATTAACCAGGTCGGGCAAGCTGAAATGCAATGTCAATCGTAGAGATGGACCCTCAGAAATTGAGGGAATCTTTACGATGGGCGAAAACATCCGAAGTGCTGAAATCAGAACCGCTTTGGGTTGGGAATGGGCTCGCTGTTTCTTAAGTTGTTACGTGGTTGCTTGTCTAGCCCTCCTCGTGCACCCAGGTGCTCTAGGTGCCGAAAAAAAGGGCTCCGTTCCCTGATTGGCGTTCCTTCTGGCAGCAGCTTCACTGTCGATTCCAAGCTGGCAATCATCGAGCGCTGCCCCCCAGGAGCTGCCAAACCTCAGCGCGCACGCGTGCGACACCCTTACGTGGCATCGTTCGGACGGGTGCATCTGCTCCTCGGCGAAGACCATCGAGGAACATCCTGGAGCATTTTGCGAGACATCGGCGCACGACGCCGACAACATGCGCGGATAATGACGAACGTCAAATCGATGGCACCCCCACCCGCTCCCGCCTCGCAGCAACGAAACCGCGCGGCCTTCGGGGCGCTGCGCGCCTCTCGCCCGTTCCCCTCGCGCCGCGCTCTCCGACGGGAGGCCCCCAGACGCGCGCCCGCCGCCAGGAGGCGAAGCCCGAGCCGGCAGCCGCCTGAGCCCACGGGGGGCGGTTCCTCGCCGGGTGCGGCAAGAAGTTCGGCGGAGGGGGAGCCTTGGCATCGCTCGGAGGCGTGCGTCTCTTCTCGGCCTGGGCCATCGAGGAGCCTCCTGGAGCATCCGGTGGGGAGGATGGCACGACGTCGAAAGAGGCACGGGGAACGGACGTCCGAGCGATGGCAAGAGAAGGTACCCGCTCCGCTGCCCTTCCCTCGTTGTCCCTTTCTGAGGCCACCTGTGAGGCCCTCATCGCCACCGCTGGATTTGCTTCGAAGTCCTGGCCAGAGCAAAAACCCCAGAAGACTTCCCTGGGAGTGGCGGTATCGGTACCTTTCTGCATCCCCAGAAGTGCCTTTTGTTTTGGCCCAGAGTGCCCCCAAGGTTTCCCAGGGGGCCCCCACGGCCTCCGGAGCATCCCTCCCGAGGCCCGGGGGTCCCCTGGAGCTCCAAAATTGAACGAAAAGCGGGAGGCACCATGGGCCAGGGGCATCTTGGCAATCCCCGACATCGAGGAGCCCAAAAACCAAAACGGCACAGGCATGAGCCTGCGGAGTTCCGTACGGATCTCTCGGATCGGCGTTGGACCCCGCCCTGAAGATTGTTTTTCGATTCGTTGAACCCGTAATGTCCGTTTCGGGGGGGGGGTCGCCCCCGAGGCGGCCGTTGTCGTCGTTGTCGTCGTCGTCGTCGTTGTCGTCGTCGTCGGCGTTGTTGTTGAGTATTCATTTCGAAAGAATAATTGTTGCTGATCCCCGGAAACGGTTCGGCGCGCTCTCGTCTCCACTCCGACTACATTTTCTGTGAAAACGAGGCTCCCGCTCGAGCGTTGGCTTGAGCCTAGATGGGCCTTTGGAGGCCCAGCTACTGCGACAACGACTCCCGCTCGATATTTCCTCACAAGTTACCCCGAGACACCCTGGCCAGAAAGGCCCCCGAATTCAGGAACGGCGCTCTCGCTCGAGACTTCCTCGCAATTCTATTAAGTTGGTGGAGGCTTAGTCACGACGACAAGGGCTCCTGCTCGATACTTCCTCACGATCTACTCTGAGAGCCCCTGGCCAAGAAGGCCCCCGAACTCAGGAACGGTGCTCTCGCTCGAGACTTTCTCGTAATTCAAACAAGTTGGTGTAGGCCCGGACACGGCGACAAGGGTTCCGGTTTGATATTTTTCCATAGGTATGCCGAGAGCTCTTGGCCAGAGAGGCCCCCGATCTCAGGAACGGCGCTTTCGCTCGAGACTTCTTCGCACTTCAGTTTGTGGCCAACAAGGAAGATTTTCCCCCCGAAGTGGAGTGCAATCGAAGACGGAGTGGGCCGGTATCGCGGGTTGGGGTAGAAGGAATGCAAGACACGCGCGCCAGTAAGAGCGAACAGTCTTAAAATGATCGTCGTCGTTGTTGTCGTCGTCGTCGGGCTCGTCGTCGTCGTCGTAGTTATTATCGTCGTCCTGACCGAGGGCCTCGAAGGGCCTCCAGACGATTCCAGTGGCGTCCAGAGATCCCCTGAGGCCTCTAGACAGCTCTGAAGACCTTCAGATGCGGCCGTCGTCGTCGTCGTTGGCGTCGGCGTCGGCGTTGTCGTCATTCCCGTCCTCGTCTTCGTCGTCGTCGTCGTCGTCGTCGCCGCCGCCGCCGCCATCGTCGTCGTCGTCGTCGTCGGCGGCGGCGGCGTCGTCGACATTTGGTCGTCGTCGTTGTCGTCGTCGTCGTCGTCGTCGTCGTCGCCGCCGCAGCCGCCATCGTTGTCGTCGTCGTCGGCGGCGTCGGCGGCGTCGTCGTCGTTGTGGTCGTCGTCGTAGCCGTCGTCGCCGAGGGTTTCGAAGGGCCTCCAATGGTTTCTGGAGACCTCCTTAGGCCTCCAGAGACCTACAGAGACCTTCAGCGGCGGCCGTCGTCGTCGTCGTCGTCGTTGGTCGTCGTCGTCGTTGGTCGTCGTCGTTTTCACGCTCGTCGTCGTTTGCGAACTCGTCGTCGTCGTCTTCCATGTCGTCGTCGTCGTCGTCGTCGTCGTCGTCGTCGTCGTCGTCTGGCGCCTGGCCCTCCACCCCCCGCGCGGCGCGACCACCTTGTCGTCATCCCCCACGGGGGGGCCCGACCCCCCCCCCCGTAACAACAATTTCTTGGTCCGGTCCGACCGAATCGGGTACGAGAAGAGCGTGTACGAAGACCAACAGAAGTTCTTGTCCGTTTTGAGCAGAATTGGCTGTCTGTGTCGCCGCGGGCGTCGCCCATTTGAAACAGAAGGCCGCCTGCCCAAGAGCAGCCACTGTCGGTGTCGGGCAACACGTTGTGTTCGGTATCGTACCCCTGTTTCTCGAACCTGCGTCGGGCGCGCCAACTGACGGCGCCTTTGGCACCACCCCTGGCGCCCTCCGCGCGCCAGGGAGGGGGGTCAGCGCCGATCCAGATCCAAGGCATCCGCGCGGACCTCTGAAAGTTTCTGCTTTTGCAGTTCTCTTGTCCCTGCTAGGCTCGTGGCCTGCGTCGCCCTGCCTGCCCGGCGGCCTCTCCAGCAGCGGGGGCACGCGCTGGTATTCCCAGGCCGCCCGGACGGGGCCGAAGCTCGGAGGAGAAGGCCATACCGATGCCGCTGCACCTCAGTTTCGTCTCTGCGCGTCTGCTGTGGCGCCCTCGTCACAACGACTGGATCTGCTCCGAGGTCCTGGTCCGGACGCACCCCGAAGGAGGTCCAGGGAGTAGCGGCATCGGCGGATCGCGCCGCCCTGCCGATGCAGCGGCGCTGCAGCGCAGTCTGGAGCCCGATTTGGCTTTCCACCCCGACGCAGCCGATGCATCGACGCAGCCGATGCATCGCCGACTTCAGTAGCAAATCATGGGAGCCTGCTATACCCTCTTAATTCCGCCTTTAGCGCCTTTAGCGTCTGGCAGTCGATGAGATAGCGCCGATTTAGCGTCGATTGACGTCTATTTAGCTTCGACTTAGCGTCGACTAGCGTCGATTAGCGTCGATTCGCAAGAGCCGATAACATGGTATGGGAGGCTCCCATGAGTTGCCACCGAAGCCGATGTGGTACTATCCTCCGTTTTCGGACCCCCTCTGGGCTGCCTCAATACAGGCTGACTGGCGGGCGGCGGCGACGGCGTTTCACCCTGGGGGGGAGGCAGGGACGTGCGGCGGGTAAAGTCACCTCCTGAATGGAATGTACTTGCTCCTGCTTGTGAATCGCATGTGTTTGGCAATCCCGCTGGAGCGCTCTCGTCGCCCCAGCTCGTGCCCCCTCGAAATCATCTCCAGAGCGCAGCCCAAGAGTTATGTCTCGCTTCTGGCTTGCAAGAGCTGGGACGTCTCGAGCGAGAGGGGGGACCACACCACCAGGGGCATCCCCCTTGGCTCCTCCCGCAGGTGGTCCCTGGTGGTGGAGGTGGTGTCTCAGGAGGGAAAACACACAGACACAATTAATGAATCGTCGATTCCCCAGAAAATATGGGACACTATGCGAAGTGGGGGGGAATGCAGAAACCCAGAAAATACCTTGTGGTGGTGGTGGTGGTGGTGTCGCTTTCCTCGTTCCTTCAGAGCTGGGGCAGTACGTGTCTCAGCCCCATTTTGAATCGGTGGTGGACAGAACCCCCACCCTGACACGTCGATCAGAGAATTGTCCGCTTTCGGTTCTCAAGAGGGCGCCGCGGCTGTCATTTTCCAGGCTTGCGCCCGCCAGGTTTGGGCTCGAGGTCGTTTTAACTAAACCACGTTCTACGAAAGGGGGTTCTGTCCATCTCCGATTTCGGAAATCTGCAAGGATCGGTGTGCCAGGCTTTGGCAGGTGGGGGACGGGTAGCGGGAGCACCACAAGTGGTGCAGTTAGCTAGCGCTACAGTTGAGTAGGCCTGACGATGCATACGCACTGACCCAGAGCCACCAGCTCGAGATTCTCGAAGATAAAGACGACGCAAGCATAGAGTTCGGAGGTAGGCGCGGGCTTCTCGGATCGACGTTGGGCCACCCTGGTGGCGCCTCCAGCGCCGCCGACTCTGGCGCGCGCCCTGCGCGCCAGGCCGCGCGGACCTCCGAAAGTTTATGCTCACGTGGTTGTTTGTCCTCGAGATTTGGCGATCGGCATGTATGCTTGTCAAAAAGAGTCGGTCCTCCAGTGCCAGTTGATGGCGTGAGCACAGAACTGCAGTGACCATTATGATGCTTGGCTTGCGTGAGTGTGTTGCATGCAAATCGTATAGTTTCCTTGGTAGATTCTTGCTGTGCCAGTGCCCACCCCTCACTTGGACACGCTACTGTTTCTTGAGTTCCAACTCGCTAAATGATTTCTCGCACTACACGTGGATGTTCCTATGTGCGGGTGTGCAGGGCGTTCGACCAGTTATTGTTTCAAACATTCAGATGATTATATGTATAGTGGAGCTTTTCAACCCAGTGCACGGAATCATTTTCATTCACGCATCGTTGTACGTATCGCACATCTCAATACCCACGAACATTATCGTACACGTGTGACATGCGAATGTCTACACATTTACGTGTACAGACGACTATGTCAAACCGTGTACATTGCTAAGCAAAGACACACACTGGGTGCATATTTCATATCATGCACGCCAAGGCGAGTATTCACAGATATAGTCTGGGCCCATCAATGCCCAGTCGCATACACATGCACATGCACATGTGCACACACACACACACGAACACTGTTCCTCCGATTCGCCAGTGTGTCAAATCAGCGGATTACGATGGGGGTCACTTTCAAATCGAATTTCCTCGTGAAGCGCCGCGGTAGGTCTGAAACGCTTGAAAACCACACGTAGACGGCACCAGACCAGAAATGGCATTTGGTCCACGTGCGCACACAGTCTGTTATCTATACGTGCATGTGCAAGCGTGGACGTTAGACAGTTTGTTTCGAACTGAATCGGTGCAGGCTATGTCAGATGGTGCAAGTTGTGCGGTGGAAGGACGTGTGATGTCCTATATGTGTTGAACGGTGCAGTCTATATTGTGGGAACTAGGGCCTATCTGGGAACCTGATGACTTCTTCGAGCCTTTCGTTGCTCTCTGGGGCATGTTTGGATGATCTTTGCAGTTTTTGAGGCATCGTTTTGAACTGTCTTGAATCCGTCTGGAAGCCGTATAAGGGAGGAGGAGGAGTAAATCAAGAACGGGGGGACCCCGCGTGCGACGGTGGGGAAGGGGTCGGCCTTAGAATCATTTGCATAGACATTGCCAGGCAACAGCGTAGCGTTTTAACACGCCCGAGCGTGCCTAGGCACGCTGGCGGATGGTATGTAAGATGTGTGGTGCAAGTAGAGATCTTTGTTATTCATTGTTTTGCCGATCGGCGCAGGCCCTCGCACCCCCCCTCCCCCCCCCTATGGAGTAGATCTTGGCTGTTGTTGGCGCCTTTTTCAAGCAGGTGGAGTCTATCCCATAGGACCCTGTTGCAAACAGTCGCATTAAGCTGAGGTCCGGAGCCAAACGCCCCCCCCTCCCAACGCCCCCCTCCCCCCCCTTCCGCACAAGGTCGAAACGCCGCAGAATAAGGAAACGTTCACATACTCTGGTGCAGCCAGCACGCCAGGCCCCCACGAAGCGCCCACGGGGTGTCCATCAAGAACGCCCAGCCAGCACGGAGCGTTCGTGAGGCTGCCACGGGCGCTCAGCAGGCGAACACCCGAAACTCACAGCCAGCACGAGGCAACCGCGAAGCGGCCACGGGCTTGCGCGAGGCGCGACACGCGTTCGCCGATATGTGTATATGTATATATATATATAGTTTTACGTGCACACGCACGTACGAGTGCGTATATCCAGAAACGTGTACACACGGACGCTCTTATCTTCAACCGCTCGCCGGCTCGTGCGCATGCTGGTGCAAATACATACGCACGCATGCTCACGTGCCCACAGTACCGCCCGAGGTACGTCCGACCACTCCTCCGCGCCCTGGTGTACGGAGGGTTCTCCCTTCGAGCATATCGTTCGATACCAAAATATCAATAACTTGTACGACTTCCCTGAACTGCGTCTACCGAACAGCCTTAGGCGATTGGTAATCCGTCCTGGCATGTGCGCCTTCTTCCTTAGCTTCGGATGCAACACTTTGGAGGTTACGTTCAGCATCGGTGGTGGTATATCCGAGGTCGATGAGTGGCCAAACCTGTCGCGATCCCGCTGGATTCCGATCAGTTCGGATAGTGAAACAAGGTCACCACAGGAGGGACTCTTCCATGTGTTTTGAATGGCCGATCTATGGTTGATGTATCGCCCATCTATGCGACTGAGTAAAATTCGTATCCGATGTCGCCACAGGAGGGACTCTTCCATGTGTTTGAATGGCCGATCTATGGTTGATGTATCGCCCATCTATGCGACTGAGTAAAATTCGTATCCGATGTCGCCTGTCATATAACGCCAGATCGTTTGCGCCCGCGCGATGCGGCAATCCACGACGAGGCGCGCTCTGCCGCGGGCTCAGCGCTGTTCGGGCGTCCGCCCGCATGGAGATCGACCAAGCCCCACTCACTGTGCCAAAATGTGAATTCATTCTTTGCGTTTTTCCAGGATATGGATTCACATGTTTCTTTTTGTCCAGAATGCGGGGCCACACTTAGCCCTTGTCCAAAATTTGAATTCACAGTGTCAGTTTGTCCCAAAATGTGAATTCACCGTCTGTGCTTATTCGGAATGTGGTGAACTCACACGTTGCGTTCGCCCAGAGCGTGATTTCACCTTTTGCTTTTTGCAGCGCAGGGTTTCCATTCTTCTTGTGCCAGCGACACGCGCCCACGGTCGTTTTGTCTGACGTCAGGGACCCAGCCCAGAGAGGTCGGCCGGCATGACGTGCTGTCTCGCCCCCGCTCGCGCGTGTCCCACACAAGCTTTTCAGCGAGCCCGACCGCCCTCCAGGGGCCCGGGCGCGGGTGACCCCCGCATCGCTGCATCCGCATCCGCATCCGCATCCTCGTGCCAACGACAATATAAGGCCGATGCGTTACCGCCCACGGACGGCGCTCGAACGTTGCATTATTGTCCCGAGTTGCCCGCGCGGAGTGGATGTCAACCGTAATGGGCACTTCAAATGGGCGATGCATGGGCCATGTAACACCCATTGAAAAGACCCTACTGCGGGGACCTTCATTCGCACCCCAATTTGTCCCGCTGAATCAATTTAAATATTGTTTTTGGCCGGGGCTTTTCTGGTCCAGCTGCTCCCCAATCGGGCATGATGGCCTTTTTCATCGTTTTTAACATCCCAGGATTTGTCGCCGAACTCAGCTGTGTAGGGGTTTCAGTTGTCGGGGTGCTTTTGTTTGTGAAGGTGGCTCTTTCGACCCTTGCATTCATCGAAGACGGCTGCTGCGAATCACCGCCGCCTGGTGCCTTTTTGAAATGCCAATATGGCTAAACGTTGGGCCATTGTCTTGCCAAGCTACTGGGCAAAGTGTTACCCCAGCCGCTGCCGAAACCCTTGGGGGACATTTTGGTGAGGAAGGGGATGGGGAACAGGTAATGGAGGATAGGGGGCCTCCTGGGACCTCCTGCGAGTCTTTTCGCCGTGCACGCAACGCCGCCGGGGGGATTGGCGATTCGTCATCGCTCAGCTGCCCTTTGAAAATAGAGAGCCGTACGGGGTACTCGTTGTTGTGCGTCCCCTTCAAAGTTGACGGTCGCGCTTGGCTCTTGGCCGAACGCCTCTCCGCCCGCGCACATCGATGCGCTGGCGTCAACTTTGGATGGCGGGGGCAAGTCTTGTTTCAGCATTGTCTCGCTGAAATTGTCTCGTTAATTGTGACGAGACGTGTATGAGCATCCTGGGGGCATCCTGGGTGGCCTGTTGAGTGGTTCCATCCTAGTGGCCTGTGGCCCATCCCGCTTCCGTGCTTGGGTTGTGGGCGAAATACTTTTGAGAGGAGATTTCCTTGCGCTTGGGGGGGGCAACATCTATCGAGGATTCTTCCTGTGGACATCAAGGTGGGCCTCTCGGGCGGCTTTTGTGCCCTACCCAGGCAATGTGGAGTCAGGGTCCAGAAATGGCGGCGTCCTCGTCTGGTCAGACTAAGGCATAGTTGTTCTAATTGTGCGTCGCTTCTTCGGGGGAGATGCGCATTCCGAAGAACAATCATGTAGTACGGTGACCTGCGTGGACCCCCAAACAATGAGTGATTGCGCTGTGAACGTGTGAGCTGCATGGTTCAATGTATTTGTGGTTGTTCACTCTTTGTGGTGTGAGCGATGTTGTGCAAGCTATGCGCTGTGAGTTATCTGGGTTGGAGCTATGTGGTGCGAGCTGTCTAGTCTAAGCTATGCGGTTTTACCTATGTGGCGTTACTTGTGTCATGCAAGCTACGTGGTGCAACATATGTGGCGTAAACTATGTGCTGCCGTCCATGCGGTGCAACATACGTGGTGTGAGCTCTGTGGTGTAAGAGGCTACATGGTGCAAGCTGTGCGGCACAAGCTATGTGGTATACTTCGCGGGTTGTACGTACGGTTCTGTCAGTGATGCAATGCAAGCTATGTGGTGCGAGCTATGTGCTGGAGGCTACGCGGTGCAAATTATGTGGCGTAAGGCATGTGGCACCCACGAGGCGCCCACCGCCGCGGCAATCCCACCCAGCGCACGGAGCGCCCACGAGGCGCCCACCGCTCCTCACCAGGCGAGACCTCTCCAAACCCACCCAGCGCACGGGGAACCCACGAGGCGCCCACGGCCGTCCACCAGGCGAAACCTCGGCAAACCCACCAATTCCTCAGGCAGCAGAAGTACGAAGGTGCCAGCACTCGTCGTGGAATGCGCACCGTGGCGAGCGTGGCCCTGCCATGCAGCTTGGACATCAACAGTACGATCGGGTCAAACGTGCGCCGTCCAGCAGCTGCTTCCTAACCCCTCTGACCTCTCCCCCCTCGCGCGCGCCTGCCTGCCTGGCATCAGCCATTGCCGCTCAACTCGTTTGTCTACACTCCCTCTTGGGGGCGGCAGAGGGGGGGGAACACTAGGGGGGGATGGATGTCATGGCGTGGGCCATGAGATTTCCACAGATTTCATGGCGCCTCCTCTTGTTTCAGCACGTCCCTAGCCCCCCCCCTGGGCCGCGCACGTGCCGCCGGACATGATTTGGCCCCCCCCCTTTTGGACGCCCTCCCTTGGCCGCCCCCGACCCTCGTTGGGAGGCTCGCGGTCAGTGGAGGGCGGCGCCCTCTCGGAGGGCGCCGGCGCGCACGGCTCCTCTGCCGCTCTTGCTCCCCCGCTGAAGTCGGACAGAGAGAAGGCTGCAGTGCTTTCCGGGATTGCTTCTGCACCGTCCGCTTCCGCTGCTCCATCCTGCTCCTGCCCCGCCTCCTCCTGCTTGCCCCGCCTCGTTATCCCTTCCCCCTCCTACTCAATCCCCCTCCTGTCCCTCCTCCCTCCTCCTCCCTACTGCCGCCCCTCTCCCTCCTCTTCCCTTTCCCTCCCTCTCCCTCCCTCCTCCCCTTCCTCCCTCCTGCCCCTGCTGCACCCTCCTCCTCCTCCTCCTTCGTCCTCGTCTGGGTAAGGGAGTCGGTACCAGCCCAGGGTTGTGCACGCGTCGTTGGGTGGAGCACGGCCCGCCTGGTTGGCCGAAACGCTTCAAAACGCTCTTTCCTCCTGTCCCTCCTCGCTCCTCCTCGGTCCCCCTCCTCCTCCTCTTCTTCCTCCTCCTCTTCCTCCTCCTCCTCGCTCATCCTCCTCCTCGCTCATCCTCCTCCTCGCTCATCATCCTCCTCCTCGATCCTCCTCCTCGGCCGTTTTGGCCCCGTTGCTCACGGCGCTGAGAGGGCGCGGTGAGTTTTCGCGGTCACCGACAATTTCCACGTGACTTTGGCTGGGATCCGACCCGGTGTATTTTGCCTGTTGTCGGTCAGCAAGACTACGGTGAGGGCGTCATGTAAGGAATGTGCCCAGGGGCCTCGGACTCTGGAGTGTTCCTCGTGTAATGCGGGCGGCAGTGGTATCTATCCACGATGGGAGTTTCACCGGCTTCCAGAAAATGGGTTCCTCATCCAACGACCTCTTAACCAATGCCCTCACCGTCATGGGAAAAAAAGCAAGGCAGCGCGCCCTAGGCGGCAGCTCCAGGAGCGAGAGGGTGGCGAGCCGTAGCCCGTAGCTTCCCAGAACCCCCTCGTCCAGGAGCGCAAGCGCCGTCGCCTCCGCCTGCGGTGCCGTTGTGGTGGACGCCAGCTCCTCCGCAGGCGCGGAGGCGCAGGCCGAGGCCGCTGAGGCGGAGGCTCAGGAGGAGGCCAGTGCTTTCGCCGAGGCCCAGGTCGAGGCAGCTGCTGAGGCGGAGGGTCAGGCCAAGGCCGCGGTTGCTGAGGCGATGGCTCAGAAGGAGGCCTCTGTTGAGGCGGAGGCAAAGAGGCAAGCCCAGGAGCAGCTCTCAGCGTCGGGCCCCAATGAAAAGGGCCAGAAGGGCTTTGAGAAATGGTTTAGGAGCTTGCCGTTGCCAGTTCTTCAGGCAGCGCTCGAGCAGACCCAGCTTGCGAACCTGAATAAAGAGAAGTGTCAGGCATACGTCAGCCACATGAAGATAATCCAGACAGTCAGGCGATGCGTCAGGCGCGGAAAACCGCCGTCGTGGTGGAGGATGAGCACGATGAACGTGCTCAGGGGCATAGCGATCGCCAGAACTGAGGATTAGAACCCTGATTTCTGGAATTCCCCGTCCTCCCTGCTCACTGTTAGCTTTCCCTTGGCGCTCTTAGGTTTTGTCTTAGTTGTCTTAGCTTTTCTTTGGTTGTTTCAGCTCTTCCTTTGCTCTCTCTTTCTTTCTCTCAGCTTTTCCTTGGTTTTCTCACCTTTTCCTTAGTTTTTCTCTGGTTGTCTTTAGTTTTCTTAGCTTGTCCTTGGCTCTCTCAGCTTTCCTTTGTTTTCTCAGCTTTGCTATTTGTTCCAGTTATGCTTAGTTTTTCCGTGGTTTTCTCTTGTTTGTCTTAGCTGTCCCTTGGCTGTCTCAGCTCTTCCTTAGTTTTCTCAGCTTTGCATTTGTTTTCTTAGCTAGTTCATAGAGTTTCGTCGGTTGTCATCAGTTGTTTCTTTTGTTTTCTGTAGCTACTGTTTTAAGCTGGTCCTTAATGTTCTAAGCTTGTCCTTGGTTGTCTTAGTTTGCGTTAGCGTCCCCGTTATTCGTTTGTTGTCTTAGCCGTACTCATTCGCTGTCTCAGCTTTTCCTTGGTTTCTCAATGTGTCGCAGCGTTCTTTCGGTTTCTCATAGTTAGGTTCTGCTTTCGTTCGCTTGTCGATGGTATCCTGAGTCTTTTTCGCCCGCGCCCTTGCCCCCCCATCGCCCCTCGCCCCCCTCCCCCTCGCCCTCCCCCTTTTTCCCTTCTCTCATTTTTTTTTCTCTCTCTCTCTCTCTCTTTCTCTCTCTGTTTCTCTCACACTCTTTATTTCTCTCTCTCTCTCTCTCTCTCGTTCTCTCTCTCTCTCTCTCTCCTTTATCTCTCTCTCTCTCTCTCTCTCTCTTTTCTCTCCCTCTCTCTCTCTCTCTCTCTCTCTCTCTCTCTCTCTCTCTCTCTCTCCCTTGTTTTGCCCCCCCCTCTCTCTCTCTCTCTCTCTCTCTCTCTATCTGTCTCTCTCCGTCTCTCTCTCTCTCTCTCTCTCTCTGCGCCTTCTCACAGTCCTGGCGCAGTCTGGCTTGCAGCGCTCGCGTTTCCAGCGAGGCCGCCGTCTTTCCAGAGATCGGGCGCTGAGTTTGCCGCCGAATTCTCGCGGCGTTCAGGGGTGCTCAGCGCCGCGCCAAAATGAAGCACTGTGCGTCTTGTTCGTCGTCAGTGTCTTGACCGTTCCGATTGAGTTTTCTCCGGCCCATGGTTGGGGGCCCCAATTAATGCGTCGACGCAGCGGGGGGGGGCTAATTATTTTTTGGCAGGGGTATCGGTAGTCGTAATAATAGAACAAGTCGGATTCCAACGTCAGAAGATTAGTATTGGTTTTCTCAGCTTGTCCATGGTCCCCTTAGTTTTCCCTTTTTCTTGTCTTAGCTTTTGACGTGCTGTCGTAGATTTCCGTGTGTCGTCTTCGTTTTTGTCATAGGTCTTCTAAGTTTTCCATAGGTTTTCGGCGCTTTTCTTTTGCGTTCTAACCTTTCCCTTATCTTCTCTGAGCTGTTCCTTGGTTCTCCCAGCTGTTCATTGGTTTCCATAGCTTTTTTTGGTATGCTTCGCATTTCATTGGTTTTCGTTGTTCTTTGTTTGGGTATGTGAGTTGTTCTTGGGTTGTCTAAGAGTTGCCTGCGTGTCCTTCGCTTTTCGTTGGTTTTCTCTGTTTTTTTTGGTGTTCCTAACTTGTCATTGGTTGTCTTAGCTTTACTATGTGTTTCCGAAGTTGTTCATCGTTTGCTGTTTCCTTTTTTTCTGCGGTTGCCTTAACTGTTTGGTTCGACCGGTTCCGGTCGACCGGTTCGGTTCGACCGGTTCCGGTTCGCGTCGCAAACCGGTTCGGTTCGACCGGTTCGGTTCTTTGTCGTAGACCGGTTCGGTTCGACCGGTTCGGTTCGGCCGGTTCGGTTCTACCGGTTCGGTTTTATGTGTTCCGACCGGTCCGGTTCGGCCGGTTCGGTTCGGTTGGTTCGGCCGGTTTCGCATCCATGCAGAGGCGATTTCAGTCAGCCCGATTTCGATTCGCTTCGATTCCAGGCCGTCCCGATCGGCAGCCCCGACGGGGATGGGGACAGTGGGGGCGAGGGAGGAGGAGGAGGAGGAAGAGGAGGAGGAGGAGGAGGAGGAGAAGAAGGAGGATGAGGAGGAGGACGAGGAGGACGAGGACGAGGACGAGGACGAGGACGAGGACGAGGACGAGGACGAGGACGAGGCCGGCCCGTTCGGCGTCTCGCGCGCTGCCCCAGCGGGGCCGCTGCAACGGCCGAGGTGCCGCCGCTGGCCGCCGCTGGCCGCTGGCCGCCGCTGGCCGCTGGCCGCCGCTGGCCGCCGCTGCACCTCCTCCTCCTCCGCCTCCTCCTCCTCCTCCTCGTCCTCCTCCTCCTCCTCCTCCTCCTCGTCCTCCTCCTCCTCCTCCTTCTCTCGTTGAGGCTGTCTCTGCAGACCGGCGGCCTAGACTGCTGGCAGAGCTCTCGGCGCTTGCACACCCGCCACCAAACGCGCCCGGCAAGATCGGAGAAGGGCGAGTTGAGACACTGGAACTCCAAATCTGCTCAAACTCGGTCTTCGGACCCCTCCCGGGGTCCAGACGCACCAGTTTTCCGAGCTGCGTCCAGCCGTGGCGACGAGGAGCTTCTCGAAGGCCAACTACCGGTGTCTCAAACGATGAAGAAAACGCAAGAAGATAATCGCGCTTCGCGCGTCGCGGCCTGGGCCGCAGAATTGCATGTCTCCAAGGAGGCCTCGCGAGGGCGCGAAGGTAACCGCGCGACCGCGACCGCGACCGCGACCGCGACCACGACCACGACCACGACCACGAGCACCACGACGACGACGGACGGGGGACCACGACGACGGACGGGGGGGTGACGACGGACGGGGGGGGGGGTCCGGACCAGGGGCGGGGGGGTCCGGACCCAGGGGGTCCGGACCCAGGGGGTCCGGACCCAGGGGGTCCGGACCGGGGGGGTCCGGACCCAGGGGGGTCCGGACCCAGGGGGTCCGGACCCAGGGGGTCCGGACCGGGGGGGTCCGGACCCAGGGGGTCCGGAGGGGGTCCGGACCCAGGGGGTCCGGACCCAGGGGGTCCGGACTGGGCTCCTCTTGGGGCTCTCTTGGGTCGGGGGGACGTGCGGTTGACTGCTGCTGGGGTGGTCCCTCGGGACCCGGGCACCCCGGAGGCGGCCCCCTGCCCTCGCGCGGGGGGGCCGCCAAAGGGGCCCGCCTTCCAGCGGTCAGCCAGGTTCGCCCCCCCCAGGCGTTCAAGGTTGAAGCCTGGCGTCCGAGGTCTGGGTCTGGACCTCCACGGCTGAAAGTTCCGTAGCCATTTTGGTTCGAGAGCCGCGCGCCGCTCCTGGCTCGCAGAGTTGCCCCACGGCTCGCTGGCCATGGACGTCTTCTCAGCGCAGCGAGCCGCGGAGAGGCGAGAGGAGAGGGACGCTCGCTCCGGGGGCGCCCGCTGGGAGAGGGGCGAGCGCCAGAAGGAGGAAGAGGAGGAGGAGAGGCTGGCACAGCCGCGAAACAACAAGGAGGTAAGATCGCAGCAGCGCACCGCCCGGTGGGAGGCGGAGATGGCTTCGGAGCACAGGGGGCCAGCGGAGCACGAGGACGAGGAGGACGAGGAGGAGGCGGACGACGTCGACGACGTCGCCGAGCTGCCAGACGACGTCCCAGTGGGCGAGGAAGAGGAGAGGAGGAGGAGGAGGAGGAGGAGGAGGAGCAGCAGCAGCAGCCCGAGCCAGAGGAGGAAGAGGAGGAAGAGGAGGAGGAGGAGGCGGAAGCACTCGGTCGTGGCCACAGGCGAGGGAGGCAGCCGGACCGGTTCAACCCCACGCCGACGGCTCCGAAGTTGGCCCAGACGCGCAAGAGAACTGCGCGGAAGAGCCGCGGTTTCCTTGCTGGCCACGCGGCCGCGGCCGCCGCGGCAGGCAAGGGGCGGCCGAGCGCGATCACGATCGAGGAGGCGGAAGCGGCGGCTGGGGAGGCCTTCTGGCCGTGGAGTTCGCCAGAACCGGACGAGGGGCGCGATTGGCGGCGGCGGCCGCTGCCGCGCGATTGGCGGCGCGCGCTGGCCGCCGGCGGCGCCGCTGCCGCGCCGGAGGCCAGGCCGGCCAAGGCCGCGGCCAAGGCTGTCGGCGCTTCGCAGGCCGTTGGCGCCTCGCCGGCTGGCGACTTCAAGCGCGCCTCGAAGGCCCTCCTGCCTTTCGGACGCCGAGCGGCGCCCGTGCCCGCGCCCGCGCCAGCAGCAGATGAGGCGGGCGGCGCCTCGCCTGGGCCCCGCGGCGTCTCGCGGCCGACCGCTCGGAAGAGCCCTGGCGCCCCACCCGCGGCGAAGACGGAGGCCGCGCAGCCCGTTGTTGACGCCCCCATGCCAGCGGCTGAAGAGGCGGCTTCGCCAGCAGCACAGGAGGAGCAGCCCGCCGGCCCTTCCGCGCCAGCAGCAGGAGAGACAGGCGCGGCTGCCGCCCACGGCGGGCGGTCTGGCGGCCAGCAAGGCGCCCAAATTATCCTTGCATTCCTTCTGCCCTCCTCCTCCCTTCCTCCCTGCCTTCCTCCCTTCCTCCCTTCCTCCCTTCCTCCCGTCCTCCTCCCTTCCTCCCTTCCTCCTCCTCCATCCGCCCTCCCTTCCTCCCTCCTCCTCCTCCTCCAGGCGCGGGCGCCGGGTCGGCGAAAGCGGCCGGTGCCGCGCCCCGCGGGCAGCCTTCGGCGGGGCCGTCGGCGGCAGCATCGCGGCAGCCCCCGCGGCCGCTTGCGGCGACTGCCCCCGCCACCCCGGCGCGGCGGCGCCGGAGGGCGATCGCGCCCACGGAGGCCAACACGCCAGCGCCCGAGGAGCCCCCCTGCGGCCGCCGGCGGCCGCGAGAGCGCGAGGCCGCCGGCGCGGCGGCCAGCGAGGAGACAGACGCGCCCAGCCTCAAGCGTCGCTCTGCCGTGGAGCGACAACGGCTGCTGGAGCAGGAGCTGGCCGCCCGCGGACTGAGATACAAGGACGTGTGCGTCCCCCGAGAGCTCCGAGACCTCTATCTAGTTGCCTTCGGCACATCCGCCACCTTGGGCCTCTTGGGCCGTCTTGCAGGCCTCTTGGGCCGTCTTGGAAAGCTCTCCGGGCCCTGGCCCCTACAAGACGCAGGAGTGAGGACTGGACTAAGAGGCTGAGGCACAGGACTTGAGGACACGCCCATTCGTGCCCAGAGGCACGGCGGCGGATACCGCCGAAAAGAAGCAGCTGATCTCCGAGGCCATCCGCGCGGTTGCGGCCGCAGCCCCCCCCTCGGACCCGAGGGCTCGAGGGCGCGCCCCGTAGCGGGCGCACCGCGGAGGTTTTCCTCCTCCTTCGCCGTCCTGCTTCCGTCACCCTTCCTTCTCCGTCACCCTTCCTTCTCCGTTCTCCTCCTCTCCGTCAGCCTTGCAGGGCGGCGGCCGGAATCGCGCGTGCCAGAAGAAGCGCTCGTGCTGCACGTAGGGGCCGCCTCAAATCCGGGCGACGGAAAACGAACTGCAACCGATCGTTGTTGACGGCCTCCGGAGGCCGTCTCCCGGCCCCGGGATTGTCAAAAAACAGTTGAGGACGAAAAACCGGCCCCGGGGACATTGTCGAGAGCTTTGGGGCTCCACGTTGCAACAAATTGCAACGTCGGGGGTGACGGCACCTGAGGCGGCGGCGGCGGCGTGCTTGGACGGCGCAGCGGCGACGGCACCGGAGGCGGCGGCGACGGCGACGGCGACGGCGGCGGCGTGCTTGGAGGGTGGATCTGCCTGCGGCGTCGGACGGCCCCTTCCGCAGGGAAACCCGCATCGGCGGGCAAGGAGGAGGAGGCGGCGGAAGAGGAGGAGGGGCGACGGGGACCCAGAAATGTCCGAGCCGGGGAGGGTCCGGACCGGGGAGGGTCCGGAGACCCGGTCCGGAGGGTCCGGACCGGGGGGGGTCCGGACCGGGGGGGTCCGGACCCAGGGGGTCGTCGTCGGCGCCTTCCTCCGCCGCCGTCGTCGTCGCCTTCCTCCGCCGTCGTCGTCGCCTTCCTCCGCCGTCGTCGTCGTCGCCCCGCGCGCGCCCGCCAGCCAGGTGCTCGTCTTCATGGGTGTCTTCATGGGTCCTGGGGGTCCTGGGGTCCCGGGTCCTGGGGTCCTGGGAAGTCCAAGAGGATCCTGGA